AAGACTTCAACAGCGAAGCTTCCTTAACCTCACCTTACAAAAACTCACAATCCCAAACCCCAAAGTACTTGAATACAATATGTAATTACATATACCTATTACACTCAAGAATATATGAAGGTTAAGAACTCTCTTTATGTTATAAGATTACTACTGGAATTTTAATGCTCAAGAGTTGTAAGTTTCTGAGATAGTTTGCATGAGTATTTATAGAGAAGACTTAGTCATTAACCTCCCACTATAATCACGTACACATGTCAACACCCCACTAACAACTTGTGGAGTAATCGTGACAAATGGTGATCATGAAGGAGGTTTCCTTGCCTTGCTCACTAATCCACTATCTCAACAACTTGCTAAATATTTGCTTTGACAAAGCCGTATAATGAAAGATTCATGCAACAATAAAACTGCTTGTTGACTTTGTCAAAAGTTTGTTTAAAAAGATTTTATTTGAAAAGGATTTTATTTGAAAAAGATAATTTATAAATTAATTATTTATTTAAAACAACTAAGATAATTATCTAAATTAATTATCTTTATTTGAACATAATAAGCTAGATAAAATATTTATAAATTATCTTTTCTAAAAATTATTTTTAACGTAAATCTTTTAAAACTAAGTTTTATTCCAGTAGTCATAAGTCATTGAGTTCCTTTCCAAACTTATATTATTGAGTGCTCACAATTAAAACTAGAACGTGAGATTTGCATGAGGCTTTTTAGAGAATGCTACTCCGCATCCAAATTCCTACTCCGGAACGAACTTTGCTTGAACCCTTTATTCACCAAAGACTCAAAACGATCATTAGTCGAGTTTGTCAATTTGTCCATCAAAACCAAAAGGGTTAACAAAAATTAAGGTGAAGATAAAAAGGAAAGAAAAAGGGAAGGGAGGGAAGGTGAAGTATTTACTCGAAACTTTTTTTATTTTTATTAAGTGCATCACTTTTCTAAATCGACCGTTTTTATTTTTTTATTGCATCTTTTTGGACATCTTTTAGTTTTAAACTAGGTTAAATCCGGTGCAATGCACGGTTGTTTAATATTTTTGACAATAATATAACAAAATATAAAGTATATGAAAGATGTGTAAAAGTATTTCATTTGGGTATATATGGAATATATATGATTGTCAAACTGGAAAGAAAATATCATAAGTTATAAATAGTTACAAATTTTGCAAAAATAAAAAAAAAAAAAAAAAAAAAAAAAGTGGGAAGTTTTTTACAAGGTAAAGACAAGTATCATTGATTATTCGCTTTTAGTATAAGTTAATAGATTATACCTCTCTCCTCACATGGTCTCCACTCCAAATTTTTTTTATTATTTATCTAATAACTACTCTAGTACTCTCACATCCTTCTTTTCATGAACAATTAGTGAGTGTCTCAGGTGATGCACCAGGCTTTATATTTTCGCAATTTCTTGTCTAATACTCCGTGATGAAAATTTGACATCATAACGTATTAAGTAATTGCTAACTTTTAAAAGTTATAGAATAAAAAATAGTTTATATTAATAGAATTTCTGTAATGACTTGACGTACAGTATTGCTTGTTACAAAGAATTTCGTGTTGTAACAACAAAGACATTAGATATGTAACTTCTTGTCTAACACTTTTAAAGAAACCGAGACAGCTAATGCACGCGTCATAGACTCATAGCTAGTCATGTCCAAGGAACTCTTTCAATTTCGCCGTATGTCATGATTTTAGTTGTTGACAACATTAATGAAAGAATGTAAACAAATATGTTTAAATGTCCGCACACTATTGTTAAGAGTTTAAAAAAAAAAGGACAATTAACGTTAATAAGGACAAATAAGTAAATAAACATTTAGAGGGTATAACTGTTAAGATACTATTCATAAGAGTTGTCTCAAACTTTTTAAAATACGAATTACATTTGTAAGACTTAATTAAATACAATTATATTAAATTAGTAGCTTACAATCTAAAAATCCATGTGTAGATTATGTTACGTATTGAGATGGTTATTGCTTATTTTAGATTTTTGCCTACGAGATTTTACCTTTCACTTGAAAAGGTTTTTCTTGTTTTAGGCCTTAGGAGTTTATTTTAATTATCAGGATATATTTGTTAGTTTAATTCGGTTAGTAGAAGATAGCTTAATTTTAAAGATTATATTTGCAAAATATTATCTTTACAAGTTAGGATAAGTTTCCTAGTTAGATTAGATTTTGTTCTACACGATTTTAGGCTAATTATTTAGCTTATAAATACGTGGTTAAAAAATTAATAAAAATCAGATTTGAGTTTTGATTATCATATGAAAAACGTGAGCTTAGCTTGTGTTTATGGTTTGTTAAACCTTGCCGTTGTGCTAAACTTTGATTCTTGAACCGAGCCTTGGGAGTTCTATCATTGCGTCACAAAAATTCTTTAACTTGTTTTTCCTCAAGAAAAACGAATACATTCAACCATAATCGTATAATAAACTTAATAAAATCCAAGAAAGGTTTAAAAATTGTTACTTTTATTTAAGAAACTCAAAATAGCCGCGTAAATACGCATCAGATTCTCTCATAAATCATGTTGTAAATGTTTTTAAAAATTAGGTATCATTAAATAAAAGGTCAACTTTCTCCTCCTAATAAAAGGTTGCTTAGAGAGGAAAGAAATATTAAAAGCAAGTACATATGATAATGAAAAGAAATGAGCAAATTAACTAAAAAGCTTCACAAAACTTGCTATATTGGGTAGTTGGATAACGGATTTGAACTTAGTACCATGAATCAAACCTTTAGACAATTAATATTGCAGGTTTGGCAAGGAATATAAAGAGTTTCTTATTACAAAGTATTTACCATTTCCCAATATAAGCCACCCCTTATTATAATGAAAAAGGCATCAAAAATTGGTCAATTTTCTCCTTCTTGGTAGTCTAAAGGAAATAAAAGTACATAAAAACTTAAATAAACCTGATCCACAATAAATTATTGTGGACCCGGTATTATCACGTGACTCTAGCTTTCTCTCCAACATCTTACTACTGCTTCCTGCCTTCCACTATTCCTACCCAAAACGCATGCTTTTGATTTCTTTTCCCAAAAAAACGCAGCCTACACACTTTCTCTCTCTTCCGACCTCCGTTCTTCCATTTTCTCTCTCTACAAAATCAGCACCGATTTTTCTGTAAAATTGCTTGAATTATTCTTCAATGGCAAGAACTAGAGGTGGTGGTACAGTTCAACCGAGAAGAGGCCTTCGTTCTTTAGCTACTTGACCACTTTCTGGTATAATTGTTGTTTATCATTTGATTTCTGCAATTTTGAGGTTATTCATTGTTGTTTTTCTTTAATTTAAACTATTTGCATGATTTTTGTTTCGTATTGAAGATTATTGAAGATTGATTTTTTTTCATGATTTGTACTGTATTTCTGCAATTTTGAGGTTATTCATTGTTGTTTTTCTTTGATTTAAACTATTTGCATGATTTTTGTTTGAATTTTGTTTCGTATTGAAGATTATTGAAGATCTAGGGTTTTTCGATTTTTTTTCATGATTTGCACTGTATTTCTGCAATTTTGAGGTTATTATTGTTGTTTTTCTTTAATTTAAACTATTTGCATGATTTTTGTTTGAATTTTGATTCGTATTGAAGATTATTGAAGATCTAGGGTTTTTCGATTTTTTTTTCATGATTTTTCGAAGGTAATGTTTCAGATATTGTGTTTATATTATGGTACATACAACAAAAGGGTTAATTAATTTAGTGATTGAATGGAGCCTCATGTCAAAGGCAATGTAACATCATGTTTTTTTCTTTTTTTTTTCTTTTTTTCCCCTTCTTTTAGTTTGACATAAAAGAGAGCTATTGAATAATGTTAATTCAATGCGTGTAGCTCTTTGCTCAACTCAATTTTATGTATAGCAATGATTTGAATAGAGAAGGCGGGATTCATATTGACGTATTCTGGAAGTGGTGGTTTGCTTGAGGGTTTGTTTTCAGCTTTCTGTATAGTTATTTAATTGCACAATTTCATACATATACTACAATTTAGTCAATAATGATGATTTTCTAAAATCTGGATTTTGCCTTTTTCCAACGATGTTTATATATGCATTGCTAATAATTATTTAGTTAAGTAACTTCAAGCACCACAAAGTATATGTGTCAGTTTTTGTGTCAATTAATGTTTCGCTGGGTGTAACTTCTTGTTGATGAATTTGGCCAATTAATTGGTGATTGCTCTAGTGTAGTTTGAGGTGCTATGAGAACTCTTTGTAGATTTTGTTTGATCATTTGTGTCATATCTTTTGAGCTCTATTACTCTTTGTTCCGAGAGAGCAAGATCCTTTTCTAGGCATAATCCTTTTCTGGAAGATTATGCAAAGGGTTCTTGTATCATGCCATTTCTGCAGTCAGTTTACAGAAGATGAGAAACATCTTTTAGGGACTGGACAATGTCAAGACATTGGAGATCCTCATATCTGAATGTTATTTTGAAATACAGTATTACAATCTTTATTTCAGGTCAGATAAGAAATTATATGAGTTTATTTCATAAGAAAGACAGGCTTAATAGCTCAAAGAGCATTAGAATCTAAAAGTTTGAAACAGTCTCAGAGGCTCTGTACATATTGTTTGTGATTAAATGACCTATGTTAGATATTTAGTACATTTAGTGCATATATCATTTTCAGTGTGAACTAATGTACGTTGTTTTTTAGTAGGTTAGTAGGTTCAGAATTTGTATTTTATTCACTGCTTAATTTGTATATTGTTCGATTACTTTCAGAATTTGTGTACTCAATGATGATCTCTGTCTCTGCTGTTTGAATTAATATTACTTGATTTTTGAGTTTGGATACTTTGGTTACTGGCCTGCATTATGTAATTTGCAATGGTTCTGTTTTTTATGGTTTATTTATGTGATTCTCTAGTCTTAAATTTTCTGGTCATTATTGTTTCAGTAAGGTCACTATAATTTACATTTTGATTTCTTTTGTATCATAATGGTGCCAAAGGCTTGAAGAAGAAAACTAAATCTAACAAGAAAAAGAGTATTGCTATTGAAGAGGTTCATGAAGATTCTCTTGAGCATCAAGTTTCTGCAATTATATCACCATCATCTCGTCGTAAGAGAACTCATGATGAAGCTGAAGTTGAACCTGCTGCTCTTGTTCGTCCTAAGAAGCCAAGGACTAGAACGAAGAAACCAATAGTTGAAGCTACTGAATCTGGTGGTGATGTACCTACGTAAGTAACTTAGCTATGAAAAAGAACAAGTCGACTTTTGGTGTTCAAGCATGCATGATTTCCTAATCTAATGTGAAAGTTGGAAAGCCTACCAACAATAGTGCTTTGTTAGATTCTATAATTTGCCCTGTTACCAATAATAGTGCTTTGTTAAATTCTATTATCTGCCCTTGAATGCATTGAGCTTACAGTATTTGTGAACTTCTCTCTCTAATACTTCATTATCATCGTACATATTATGTGAAAAATTAGCTTCTCTTTTTTTTGGAAAAATTTTTGTCAGACTGCATTGATTTTTTAATTTGTTAACTTGATGTTGATTTAATGTTGATAGCATTATTATTTGTATTTTGCAGAATAAGGACATTTAAAACTAAATGTAGGCCTTTGCATTTGGTTGACATGATGTCTAACTTTATTCTTGATAAAAAATATTCTGTAAATGAAATTGGTTTTGGAGGGTTGTTATCATTGAAGTTGAAAAGGAATCCTACTAGTATGTATAGGTGGCTAATTGATTCTTTTGACTGTGGTAGCTGCATGTTTTCAATTGGTAATAATAAGGAGTTTGTGGTGAATGACTATGATGTGTATGACGTGTTTTTCCTTCCTTTGAACCCCAAAAATGTTGAGGAGATACCTAGATCTGCTAATAAAAATAATCCAGACTTTGTTTTCAAACATAATTGGAGATTGCATTTTGGGTTGACAGATGAAAATGATCAAATTCCACTTAATTTGTTAGAAGCTAGGATACCTACTTTAGGCCAAGGTAGAGATAAGTTTAAGCAACTCTTTGTTATGCATGCTATATCCACGTTTTTAGCTCCTACTTCTAACAGAACTGCCAATCTTAGGATTGTCAAGGCACTTGATGATGTTGAACAAATTAAGAATTTGAATTGGTGTAAATATGTTCTTGAAAAACTATGTGAAGGTGTTAAAAGTTACAAAAAAGGAGAAATTCAGAATTGTTGTGGTTGTGTTTTGATGTTGGAGATTATTTACTTTCATAGGTTGAAATTTAGGAATGTTGAATTAAGTACTTCTTTACCCTTAATTCAACATTGGAATGATGAGTTGATTAAGGATAGAATTAAGAAGGAAAAATTGTCCAAAAGTTTTGGGTGTGGGATTTTACAGTCTGATGTGTATCCTGTTAGTGGTAAAATGAAGTTTCCGGATGGACATGTTGTGGGTATTGCAGGGGGAAGTATGGGGAATGCTGGGGGGGAGTGATAATGTTGTGAGGAATGTCGGGAGGAGTGTTGATGTGCCTGATTCCCAGGGTACAATACAGTTCATTCTCCCAGCAGGTTCGATGTCAGATCAAGAGATCCATTCGGCTGCTATTGATGTAAGGAGTAGCTGACTTTTATTCTATATTATTATTTTTATTATTTGATATGATTTAAATGTTTATACATGTTTCTTTTAATGTTTTTGCAGCCTGTTCATGAGCAATTTTTGTTCATGAAAAGAGATGCATGTGATCTCTTCTTTTTACAATGATAAGATAAAAGAGATTCTTCTTTTACGTGGTGAGGCCAACAACTCTTCTGGCTCTTCTGGTATTAATTTGTCCCAGGATGATTCGTTTTTTATGGATCCTCGAGTTCAATCTGTGATTGACGAGATCTCTGAACTTGCTATTTGGGTGACAAAATTACCTGAGGTGTTGGGTCAAATTTCTACATTTGACCACAACAAAACAAATGGAGGGAGGGAGGCAATTAGAGGCACTATCCCTGTGATTGGCTTTGAAAATATTCTTGCAAATGGAGGGTCCAGGTCTTTGTTTTCTTTGGATTGGAAATCTAATGAAAAGCTTATATTCATTTCACACTTTTTGAAGTCAAATAACAAGGAAATGAAACTATTGGATTCATTAGTCCTAGAGATTGTTGACTATTGCATTATCAATGATTCTTATTTGGCTCCTAAGTAAGTAATCTTTTGCTTGATTACATTGATTTTCTCTTATTAATTTATTTATGAAACACCTTTTTAATTCTTATTTTATACTCTTTGACATAGTGAACTGTTGGTATTTTTTCACCAAAAGCATTTGATTCAAAGGCAAGAATTCTACACATTAGGAGAGCCTTCTGAAATCATGAGCAGTAGTATTTTTGATTGCTGGGCATTGCTTCTCAATGAAAATCAGAAATATTTGAAGGATGGACCTCGGAAATTGTACTTTGGTTCTTCAATTAGTGTGAGTTGTTTAATTATTTCAATGTTTATTCATGTTTTTACTTTTTACTGTTTTTTTGATTTGTTAAAATATTATGTAGGTTACAATAGTAGAAGCTGCCGGCAGTGATGGCAATTCACAAATAATGGACAATGTTTATCAAGGTTTGGAGGAGTGGATGAAAATAGCTTGAAATGATTTTGATTTGTCAGAAGTTGAGTTGGTAATACTTTCTGTTTTTTTTTATGCTTTAAAAAAGACAGTTGCCTTTTTTTATGTTATAAATACCTTTTTTTAAATGAGAGTGACTGTTGAAAATTGCATAAGTATATTTTTAAAAGAGGTCACTATAATATCAAAAATGGAATCTATATTTGTTTTTTTTTATTCTGACTAATTGTGGTATTATTGTTGCAGATATTTTTACCTTGTCTTTGGGGCAATCACTATTGCTTATTTGTGGTGAATTTGACTAAAGGAAAAATTCAGTTTATTGATAATCTGAATTATGATAAGGATAATTTTATCTTTTTGAAAAAGTTGTCTAGTCTCCTGGTATTACTTTCTCACTCAATATTGTGCATTTTTTAGATATTGTTCTCTGTAATGCACTGTTGCTTTGAGTGTGTTGCTGATGCATATGTTTATGTGATGAATTTGTGGCATAACGCATGTGGTTGTTGAGCATAATAAGGATTAAAAATATCATGCAATCCTTTGTGACTAGTATACTGTGATGTCCTATGCCTCTGCGCCTTTTAATTACTAGCAATTGTTTGCCATTAAGGTGAGGGGTTGTTAAGTTTATGTACTATGTACCCCTTATATTGGACAATATCGTGATAGTTTGTGAGTACGTTTGATATGTTAATTATAATTGGTTTGACAATGGTGTTTCAGTTATCATTTGAGAGCTATGCCTCTGCTTGACTTTTTTAGAACTGTGTTGCATAAATATAATATGTTGTTTTGTTCTGTGATCTGATTATATGCTTTTTTGCTAGTGTGATATGATCAGTACCTACTTTGATCAAAGGCTTACACAATCTGGAGATATGGTTGACTACGCTTTGGAGTTTCCCTCTTTGAATTGGAGATCTAGCAAAGATAATTCAAATTCCGGTGTTTATATTATGATGAGCATGCTTTTATTCAATGGAGTTGATGAGTTTAAATGTGAAGTTGTAAAAATAGTTATGTTTTTCTTTCCCTTTAAATTATTTGTTTAATTTCTTTTTATTAATATCACAATATCTTATATTGATTACTTACTTTTTTAGGCTTCAAGTAGGAAGATTCTCCGGATTCAAATTGCTGCATCTTTGGTGTTATCTGATATGAATGAAGCTAGATCAATTATAATTGATAAGGTGGCTGAATTCAAACCTGATAGGCAGCGTCTTTCAAAAGAGGTTGAAGAAAGAAGAAGGAAAGAGATTGAAGAGAGGAAGAATAAGAAGAAGAAGAAAGGAAAGGGGAAGGCTTAAGATGTCAGAACATGATTTTTTGACTTAGTTATTTTTCTGATGCTAAGCAAAGTACTGTGAACATTGAAGATTGGTATTAGTATTAATTCAACTTTTGTGTATGATATTGAAGAAGATTGGAAAAATATTCATTTTGTGTAAACAAGCATTTGCCAACATTTTATGAAAATGGTATATTGTTTGTTTAAAAAAAAGGTCTCTATTATATTAATATACAGGTTACTATGTTAATGTGAAATGCTATTCTAAACTTATCTTTATAAAGGTCTTTATGTGATAATAAAGGTACCTATGTTAATATTAAAGGTAACTATGTTTATATTAGATGTTTGAAATGAAATGTCACTATATTATCATAGGTCACTGTATGTTAAAATAAAGTCACTTTATTATTTATAAGGTCTTTGTTTGGTTAAAACTTTATTATTTATAAGGTCTTTGTTTGGTTAAAAAAGGTCACTTCGTTTTCAATATTGTATAGTGTGAAAATTAAAAATTATGTTAAATTAATGGCAATCATCATAGGTCACTAAATGTTAAAATAAAGTAACTATTTTATTAATAATGTTACTATTATAAATATAAAGGACTATGTGTTCATTAATGTTAAAAAAATTGACAATACAAGGGTATGAAATAAAGATTACTATTTAGGAATAAAGATCACTATATTATGAAAAAAGGTTACTATTCTAAAAAATTTAGCTAACAAAATTAAAGATTACTACATTAATCATAAAAGACACTATATCATAATAATCAGTATTTAAAAGATATAAAGTTTCCAAAAACATAACCATATAACAATACAGGTTCCTATGAAAAAATTTAGTGCTCTTAAGACAACATTTGATGCCTTCAGACTATCAGAGCATATACTTATTATTAATATTTGGTGTTTTGGCACCAAATTCTCTATGCTTCCTCCTCTTCCCCTTATTCATGTAGTCATAGCTTCCTGGAATCCTTTTATTTGATTGTTTTCCTTTAGTTTTTGCACGAGCTGGATCCAATACTTGAATAACACTAGATGAAGTAGCTTCTGAATTCTCTTCTACACCTGTTGTGTTCTCAGAATGGTTGTTAGTTGATTTCACGGCAGAAATAATCTCATCTATTGCACTTGAATCTTTTGTAAAGCTTTCTTCTAAGACTTTTCTTGCTTGTTCAAACTTGTGGCTCTTAAGGATTAGACTATAATACTTCCTCACCATGTGTAGCCGCCAGGGTGTGAAGTTGTTTAATGTCCCCTTCTTCTTTTGCTTTGCCTCCTTTCTTGTCCAAACTTCAACCTTAGCCATTTTAGTCCACCTGAAAGATATGTACTGCTCTGGGAATTTTTTCAACAGAATGCATGTGCAAGATTCTAAGGCTATGGAAGCATAACCAACCCAACTCTTCAAAATTCTTGCATGGACATTGAATTGTTTGGTTTGTTGGATCGTAAGTTACTGCTTGAGTTGTGCCATCTCTGCCTTCAAGGTACACTTGGTAAACCATTTTGCCTCCATTAATAAATAGTAGTTTGGTTTGAGATCCAATGGCTAGTTTGAATTCTTCTTCTAAGTCCCTGAATAATGTATGTGTATAAACCTCAGCAGCATGTTTAAGTAAGGCAGACATCGGATAACTTGAAGTAGGAATTGATTTTGTGCTATTTAACTCATAAAAATCCTCATTCCTTCTCCAAGTCTTCACTGTCTTTTGAAATATGTCGTAGAATTCTGTCAAACTTGTCTTCTTGTTTGCTATAAATCCCACTGCATGATTTGTGCTCTCACTTCTCTGTGACGACAAGATTCTCGCGGAAAAAAAGTCCTTACTTAGAGTTGTTGACCACTTATGCTTTAGTGAGTATAACCTCTTGAACCAACTGTTGTTTTTCAGCTTGTACTTTGTCATCATTGAATCCCAACATACTTCAAACTGAGCTTCGTTAATACAACCACTCAAGCATTTCGTGAAAGCGGCTTTGAATGTGTCATCACTCTTCAAAATTCCAAATCTTGTTACAGCATTTTGAATCAAATGCCATAGACATAGTCTATGTCTAGTGTTTGGAAATACCTGTACATTTTTATACAGTTACTATGGTTTCACAAATGGTTACTGCATTTAAAATAGAGGTAACTAAATATAATTCCAGTACAAACATATTTAGATGTAGTAGTAACTAATTACCTTGGGTATTGCTGCTGCCATGGCTGCATCTTGGTCTGTAAACAGTGAGACAGGACATTTACCACCCATTGCCTTTTTAAAGGTCTCAAATAGCCACACAAATGACTCTATGGTCTCATCACCAATAAAAGAACAAGCAAACATAGTGTTCTTCCAATGGTTGTTTATTCCTACAAAGGGTGCGCAAATGAGGTTGTAACGATTCGTCCTATATGTGGTGTCAAAAACAGTGACATCCCCATATATTTTGTAATCTTCAAGCATCATAGAATCCCTCCAAAACAAGTTACAAACCCTTCCATCTGCATCCAACCTTACTCTGAAAAAGAAGTTAGCGTCTTCAGAATAAGCTTCCTGTAATTTGTCACAAACTACTTGAGAATCTCCTGCTTCAATGGCCTTTATTTTCAGCTTATAACAATAATTCATGTGGTCTTTCACTGTATGACCAATAGCATCTTCTCCTCCAGCTTCATTTGACATGTAATTAAAGGATTCCATAGGTCTTAGTCCAGATTCTTGCATGGCCTCAATCACTTGCCCTTTAATTTCAGTCATTGCACGCTTTGAACGGTGGAAATGGTTCCATTGTGGTCTAGTGAGTGGATGATTGTGCACCAACACATGCTGAACTATCTCAAATTGCCCCTCCTCATTCAATTTGGCTACTATCAAAGCATTACAATTTGTCCTTGTTATAGGAACTCTCCTACTTTGTCTTGTTTTTTTTTAACAAAGAACTTTCCTCTGTCAAGAGTTCTGGAATTTTTTCCTTCTTTTTACCAGAATTCCTCAGTCCAGCTGCAGAGCATACAAAGAACTTTTTGGTGATAATATCTTTAGTTCCGGTTTTGCTTGTCTTTTTTGCTTTTCTAACACTAAAACCAACTGCAACAGCATGTTGACAATACAATTCATGTATCTCTGCAAGTGTTGCTCGAGTTTCTCCTACTAACCAACCACTAATCTCTTCACTATTATTTTCACCTGTTATTTATTTGCACCATCCATAATTATCATTTATATAAGTCAAATTGGGTATATTACAATAGCACTCTAAAGTCTACAGTACAACAGACATATCAGAAAAGCACTCTAAGATAGATCACTATACTATCAGTAAAGGCAACTATATTACTTAAAACTGGCTTTGCATGTCTCTAACTGCTGTGAACCTAATTATTTTCAATCAATATAAATTACGTACTATTAGTTGCAATTATACGAATTAATACCTAAATACCTAATTTGATTTTCCAAACAAACAATTGTAATTGCATAATTGCTTAATACCTTGAGCTTGCATTACATGTTGATTTTCCTGCTGAACTTCATTCTCATCCTCAGCTTCAATAATAGCTTGTTCTACATCTTCAATAGCGTCATCTTCTTGTTCAAGTTCGAATTGAATGGGATGATGATACAAGCTTCCTGATATTTGACAAATCAAACAATGATCAGATCAATAACTATGCACAGTTTGATCAATTAAATAGATTATTAATAATTCTTACCTTCATAGTTGCTTTCAATTTGAGCTTCATCGTTCATATCTAAATTGATGACATTAATATCGAACTTTTCTACGGTGTCCTGTATATTTCGATTTATATCAAATTCAAGTGAATGTATAGAAGAATTTTCCATGAATTTTGCAGAAATTGATTTATTATGGAGAAATTATTAACCCTAGAATTGATTAGAAGGAGAGAGGAAAAACTTCGAGCTCGGCGTAGATGATGAAGTTGCAGAGGACCAGAATTCATCGATTTTTTTACGGGAGTGTGGGAAAAAAAATCACGTGATATTTTTTAGGTCCACAATAAGCTTATTGTGGACCAGGTCCACCCAAAATTTTTTAATTAAAGTATATCCCATAACCTGCAACCTCCGTTTCTTATTATTTGTAACAAATGAATAATTTATATCTCACAAATATTCCCCTTTGTAGCAAATAATAAGAAACAGAGGTAATATACATAAGATGATTAATAACACACTCTACCAACATAACTAACCTCCAATATTATTTAGGAGTGCAAAATTTTAACATAATATTAATGTCATTAGTAATGCATAGCGGTACATGACACTTATTACATTAGGGGTACATAACGATGCATATTATAGATTTTTCGACAAATCAACATAAGGTGTAGAAATGATGAAACAAAAGACACACTACAGGAACTCTCTTGGGTCAGTAACAAAACCAGTCAACGCAGATGCAGCAGCTGTGTAAGGAGATGCTAGATAAATCTGCCCTTCTTTGTTTCCCATTCGCCCGGGAAAGTTCCTATTTGTTGTTGACACGCACACCTGCATTCAGTATACTTTTAGTCAAAGGTAGGTCGAATGGGGAAACAACGTTTCTATCTCATAGATATGCATATCGCTCACTTAAATTTACTAAAACTTCTTAAAACACCTTTAACTAACAGGATCCCGCCAATTATTGAGAGTAATATGCACATAATGATTTAATAAGATCCCCAAATGTAGGAGAATAATATGCAGCTATAAGGTGTATGATAGGTTAGCACGTAGGAGAATTATCTACTACGTATCATGCAGTGAAGAAAAAGGATACAGCCATCAAAATCAGACAAGGACAGTGGTTTTTGTCAAATAAGCACATGATTAATGATAACGACAGTTGTCTTTACCCGCTAAAATTGTAATTTCTGCTAAAAAGCATGTGGTGATAATAATACAAGTTGCTTAATTAGTGACCTACCGACTCATCACATTGTATATAAACCACAACTAAATAAAAACATGTTAATTGATATCATCTCGAACTTTGAATCATATTCACACAATATTCCATATCTATTTATGGAACTTTTTACATAGTAAAAAGACCTACGCCTCAAGGTTAATTAAATAATCACCTATGCAATGGAGTCTTAAAAGACTTAGATCTGGAAACCTACCCCCTATTATGTGATAACTAAATAAAAATTAATGAATATTGGCGGTTGACTGGATGTGAATCTAAGAGTTATGGCCGGTATTAATCAAATATATAGTTACGTGTGGCCTTTAAAATAAGGCCAAGGATGGTTTTTACATTAGCTTTCAGTTTTCCTGCACTTAATTTCAAATTTCAAAAAGCACTGAAAAAGGTATGGTCGAGCACAATGGAAAGCTTTTTTAGAACGCCGAATGTAGATTCAAGACTGGTAAGTGGTATCTAAAAAGAGATTGATGATACAAAATGAAAGTAGGAGTATAGCTCAATTCCATAATCCATGTACATAGGCTTGTCTCAGCTTGTTTTTGCATAAAACAAAGTTATTTTTGCGAGCTTAATTATTTTTTGTATAAACTTTATAAACTGAGAACGCAGCCTTAATCAAGCAAGATGCAAGATATTTCCCTAGCGTATTTCCCTTGTTCACCTGCATGCCTCTCATATTCTAGTTCCTTTCTTACCTCCAATTCCAGCTCATGTTATTTTTAAGATCCTATACAATAATCTCTTCTTAATGGGCACTAAACTAGTCAACCTGAAGTGAACAAGGATACAAGAGTTGGACAGCATTGAGTAAGTTACCTGCGCCTCATTCATTCGTGCGTAAGTGTCTCTAGGGCCACCAAGGCAAGCTCCACAGCCTGGACTGCCTGGTGTATCACACCCAGCTTCTTCAAATATCTGAGCACAGGTCTTACCACCAGAACCAGGCACAGGAAGAGTGTATACATCCACCCACACCTAAGGAGTTATCAAAGAGAATAGATCATTTGTCTTTAAAATTTCACCTTTTAAATGTTCAAATCCTTATGTGCACATAGTTAATAGAGGACGGAAACAAACCTTCTGGGTGGCAGGTACCAGGAAAGTGGGGACTTTGACCTTCTTACCCTGTAGAAAAATCATAACACGGATAACAAAAATGAACTTTAGAATATATTTGACTGAAAAAGCAGCCACACTCCAAATCCAAACATTTACAACCTGTACTTATCACCCCGCCCCCAGGTAACAAAATTGTACACGAACAATTTCATAGCACAGGTGACTCTCTATCTTCAGGTCACGAGACAAAGGATAGAAATGACGGTGCTAGTCCAAGTAGTCAAGTTCTTATGCAACATACATTCCAACATTAGGCTATGTTCTTCTCACCTTTTTTTAGAAAAGAGTTCACTCTTATTAGAATCAGACCATTTAGCCCTGATCGGAAAAATTCAAACCAGAATAGATTAGGTCTTCTTTGTTTTGTTATCTCAATTTGAAATATCTCTAGTTCCGTATAAATAAAGATATGAAAATTAGATATTTGAAATCTACACAGTAAAATGAATCTATTAAGATCACACTAAGAGATCAGATCAAATCAGACAAAAAAAAAAAAAAAAAATCAGGCCAGACCTTAGGAATTGAGATCATAACACTTTATTTCAAGTAAACAGAACATAGCCCTACACAACATGAGCAACTGAGACGAAGATCCATATGAGCTCAGGGAAATGAGACCCGCAAAATAAGTCATTAAAACAAGAATATAAATTAATCAGCAAATCAGAGGCCACGAAGACTTACAGAAGCCATAAAGACTTTGGCTGCAGCTAGAAAATCTTCTGTCTTTCCACCGGTACAAGAACCAATGTATACTCTGTCAATTTTGACATCTTTACACTCTCTTGCTAAAGCACGGTTGTCTGGAGAGTGAGGCTGCAAACAATTAAAAAGGATATCAGTTGACATTAATTCAACCCTTTAACAAAGAGGGGTCAACAAATCAGATAGACAAAACATCTTAAATTAACACTCAATATTTTATTTACCTTCGCAACAAGAGGTTCTAGCTTTGAGACGTCAAACCGGTATTCAGACAAAAATCTAAAATCCAAAGAAATAGAAAACATCAGAATGCTTAAGGTAAACATAAGCATGCATCAGTAAGACTCATTGATCAGTTGCATAAGAAAGCTGCAATAGCATCTATACTAATATATTAAAAGGCGTTACTAAAAACGTCTCTGTGCCACATAAACCACGCCACGTCACCTACTCCATCTCTCATTATGCCACATCATCACTACTCAATCAACCTGAATCATTATGCCACGTCACCCAATATTGCTTCTTATAAAAAAATGATGATAAGGAGATTCGAACACCCAATCTCTTATAAGAAGGATGGTTATTTAACCATCTAAGCCATTTATCAACTATGTTATAAACATGAAAATAAATGTATATAACTGATAATCACAAGATCTAATTAAAAAGAAAATGACATTATAGATATCAAATACATATAATCACAAGGAATAATTATAGTAGCAACCCGGTGCAACGCCCGGGCTACACACTAGTTTTTAAACTATAAATAAGTAAATAAAGAAATTAATTATAAAAAAATAAACAAAAAAAAAAAAAAAAAAAAAAAAAAAAAAAACCAGAGTTTGGACTTTGGGGTTTCACGGCTTCAATAAGGATTTTAAGACAATCTGAACCCATGTTCTTATTAATTACAAAGCTAAATTGCTAAAATGTAAAAGCAATAAAAGTACCTTGCTTGATCATCACTATAAAGAGGGTCGTA